TCGATCAGTCGGGTCGGCGATGAAAATGAATCGGATCGGCGGAAATCGGCAACCGAGTCGGGATAAGCCGAATCGATGTAAATCGGTTGGCTAGTAGGCCTCCCTTGAGAAATCGGATCCCAAATCGCAATCCGAAGTATGATGGAATCGGAATCTGAAGCCATCGAAATCTGATAGAATCGAATCGGGGGAATCGAATCGAGCCCGCGATTGCGGAGGGGGGGTGGCACGGTTTAATTGGGTTTCCCCGAAAATCCTTGCCGTGAGGTGCACCATTGCGTGGAGCTTGGGGGCGTCGCTGATCCCAGCGGCCTGCATGCTACACAAGCTGGTGATCGTCAGTTCCATTAGCTTCTGTTGCGCGCATACATCGACGATCGGGTCGTCCAACCTACGCAGAATATTATGATACTGGGCCAAAGACTGCCCTGCCCGAGACAGGTGCTCTACATGAAAATCAGCTCCGTAATCTGCTAAAACTTGGTTGGCCCATTGCATCATGACGCCAACCTCAGCAGCTTTCACCTTCATCATTGACCCCTTGTGGAGTCGAGCCAGTGTGTTTCCAGTATTTTTTCTTTTATCCCCGATCATCCCGAGCGTCAAGTCCCCGATCCGCCTGTCCGCAGGCAGCCCCTGATCTGCTTGCCATTTCAAGAAGTCTGCTCTCAAGCGTCTGCAACCCAGTTCCTCTATCGATTTCTGGTCCCCTCGAATGCCCCACGGATTCGACAAGATCGTGCGCCAAACCACTGCACTTGTCCACCTACTGAACGCTCCAAAGTACAGGCTGTGTAAAGTATCTAAGCTCAACGTCCGAGACGGCGACGTCCCCAGACCTAGAAGATTGAAGATGGGATTGTATCTCAACGCGCCGTCCAAAAGCCGAGAGTGTTTATCATATGTTGCACGCCAGAATTTCACCTTGAACGGGATCGGGGTGGACTCGAGTTTCGTTGGCACCAGCAGGTACCCCTCAGGATCATCGACATCGTAATGCGGCTCGATTCGGTCGAGACGCTGCAGCCCTAGCTCGGGGATACCTCTAAACAGAGCCAAACCACGGGCCTTCTTGCCCTGTGGATAAAATGGCACTCCCTCGTTCACGATGAGACGACGAATTCGTTCAGAATCAACTGCGATTGTAATCTGCTTTCTGCGACACTCCTCTTCGTAGAAATCGTCCACCTTAGCCTCCCACGGAAGGCCGCCCAAGCTGCAGGAATGGTATTGGGTGTATTCGGTGGCCTTGGAGGCATGGCAAAAAGGGCATGGATGGAACGCCGACGTGACGCTCGGGATGCCCAAACTCGACGGCCACTCGTGCATGTCTCCTGCATGGGCACAGCCAGAAAAAAGCGTTCGTGTCTGCGTGCGGTGCATCCTCCTCATCCTCCCCCCCCCTTCACCCCCTCCTCTATCGTCTCTTCGTCATCCTCGGTTTGGGGGGGGGGGATCGAGGAGGAAGTGCACCAACCTCACGGCGCTGCCGCGCAGTTCCCGCGCCACCCACCCGACGGGAGAAGGATGAGGATGAGGGGCATTATACGAGCAATGATGATGATGATGAGGAGGCGAGAAGGAGGAGGAGGAGGAGGAGGAGGAGGAGGAAGGGGAGGAGGAGGAGGCGGAGGGGGAGGAGGAGGAGGAGGAGGAGGAGGAGGAGGAGGAGGAGGAGGAGGAGGAGGAGGAGAGGGAGAGGATGGAGGATGAGGAGTGTCTTAGATTCTCCCCATTCGCATCCTGTGATATGCAACAGCACAGCCCGAAAGCCCAGGTCCTCCCCTGCAGATTCCACAGAATAAGGATGCGCAGCGGGACGACGCTTGCCATTCCACATGGTGCGAGGGCGCTTCCCGCTTGCGAGAGCTAGTAAACTGTGCGAAATTGCCGACCACACTGGATGTAACGTGCACCACCCGTTGCAACCACAACGGCACATCTGCTTCGTTCTCACTGCGCAAAGGAGGTGCCTCCTCTCAGATGAAACTGTCCGCACCCACACGCCGAGAATGGAATCGGCGCGACCTGCGAGCGTGGCCGTGAACCGCACTCCATCGCAGAAGATCACTAGTGGGACGGGGGGGGGGGATGACCATGTGCTATAGCATCGACCACGACGGGATTGCTATGGTACGACTCTGGGAGCGACATGCTTGAAAACATCTTTTATTTCTGGGCTCTCTCTGATCTCTTGTGCGATTGCTTCCAATGGGGGCAACGCCATCACCGCCCGCTCCGCTGACGCTGCTGTCTTCCTGTCCACAGCTGCAGTGATGACTGTATCCAAGCGAGGGCCTCTTGGTAAGACTCGATCCAGTATTTTCTGGAGGTACTCTTTTATTTCTTTATGTGTAGGTGTAGAGGGTTTGATTAGCGTGGGAGGGGCAGTAACTCATGAGCGGGGGAGAGGACGAGGCTGAAAAGTGGAGTTACGGGTGTAAATGGGGAGGGGCATCAACGCGAGTGACGGCTGCAAAAAAAACGCTGGCCTGATACGCGCCTGAATCCAAACCAGGTTCTCCCGCATACAAAGTAAAGTCGGCGCCCTTGACGCCCGCCCTGTTGGCGCGGTAGCACAACGTGCAAAAGTCTCGGGCGCATATCTTTTGCCCGCAGAACAACCCAAGCATACACTGCAATAGCTCATGGCCAGCACTTCGTAGATGCTGGTCCACATTGCCAGCGAGGGGATCTGGGCCAGGTGCGATTTTCCTACGCTTTATCGGTAGAGGAGCCATAAGATAGGGCCTTTCCCCAAAAAACAACTCGCGCCAAAACGGCTGTCGAATGGTTTCGGCTCACCACGAGAGGGGGATTACATGAGAGAGGGGGGCTGGCAACAGAATTTGCACTGCGAGAAGCGGGCTGGCATCGAAATCGTAGGTGCAGAGCAGATCAAGGCAAGGAAAACTGGAATTCATCGTCCTGGGCAACAGAAAATACATACAATAACTGAAATATTGGCACCGAGACCTGCAATTTGGGCTCGCAGTCGGGGCTCAGACGGGCTCAGGCGGAACTCAGGCGGAACTCAAGCGGAACTCAGGCGGAACTCAGGCGGAACTCAGGCGGAACTCAAGCGGAACTCAGGCGGAACTCAGGCGGAACTCAGGCGAAACTCAGGCGGAACTCAGGCGGAACTCAGGCGGAACTCAGGCGGTAACTCAGGCGGAACTCAGGCGGAACTCAGGCGGTTTGGTGTGCATTCAGGCGGAACTCAAGCGGATCTCAGGCGGCACTCAGGCGGTACTCAGGCGGAACTCAGGCGGCACTCAGGCGGAACTCAGGCGGAACTCAGGCGGAACTCAGGCTGCTGTTCCCCGCGCGCTGCGTCGGAGCCCGTCCCGAGGGGCCGTCGGACCTGCCAGATCGATTCCGGAGCCAAGATTTCCTTACCCGATCGGTCCCATTTTGTTTTTTTTGTTGTTTTTCAGATCGGTCTGAGTTTTCGAATGCCAAAACCCTTAATCTACCCTATAGATCCCCTTCGCTAGTGTTATCAGCGTCTCGCTTGACCTCGCCCCAGGTCGAAGCTCTTCAAATGTGCGAGCAAACTCTCGGCACTCCCGCGCAGCATCGTGTCAGAAGGAAGAAGGGACCCCTCCAATCCTCAACATCTCAACCTCCCTCTTCTTCGGCAGTTGTTTGCGTCAATCTTATGTTGTTCCCTCTCTCCTCGCACCTCGCTCCCCGCTCCCCCGTCCTTCCTCCGCCCTCACCACTCTCTCCCGATCCTTTCCTCCCTCCCTCCTAGTTGCCTTTGAACCTCGCCCCGCCAGATGGGGAAGAGGGTGGAGACTGTGACAGAGATCACTGCAGGCCGAGCATGCACGAAAAGACCGCACACGCGGTCACTCGCCCTCAGGGGCGTCGTCATCGGAGGGCGCAGAAGCCCGCATGTCCATGAGCGCCTTGCACTTCTTCTTGAGCGTCTGGATGAGCGGGTTCAGGGCCTCGCAGAACGCCTTGCCGTCCTTCACGAAGTCCTTCTCCTTCTTGAGCGTCGCCACGTTGCCCATGAACACCTCCTTCGCGAAGGTCGTGTCGTTCGTCCCCTGGTCGAGCTTCTCGATCGCGGAGTGGATCGGGCCCGTGAATTTCTTGTCGTTGAAGATCCTCCAGCCCTTCTCGCTCTCAACCCGCGTCAGCAGCTTGCGCGCGTCGGCCACGGCCTCGTCGTGGTTCCTCTTGGCGTTGTTGACCGAGGTGGCAGCCTTGCACACTGCCTGTCGCGCCTTCTTCGCAGCCTCCTTCTTCTTCTTCTCGGCCGTCGAGAGCTCTGGCTCGGGCTCAGATCCCTCAGCGTTGTCATCTGATCCGTCGGCCAGCGCCTTCTTCGGCTTGGCCTTCCCCTTCGCCTTTGCCTTCTCCTTCGCGCCAGCGGAGCTCGAGGCGACCGGCTGTCCTGCGAGAGGCGGGCAGATAATTGGGAGCGGGAGGGGGTGGAATGAGGAGGATAACATGGACGATCGTTACAAATTGGAGGACGGGAGGGCGATGGAAGACCAAGAAGATTAGAGGAACTCGAGAGACAGGATATAACGAAATGTGCGACTGCGGATTAGGGGGGGCGGGGTGGTGAATTTAACGAGTCGGGATGATAATGAGTTCGGGGGAAGAGATAGGGAGAGAGGGATATACGTGTATATATACATATATATATATACATATCAGAGAGAGGGAGTCTCAGGAGGGTGGGAAAGAGGAGAAGGATGAGGAAGAGGAGGAATTTGAAGAGGGTGCGAAGTCCTCCAGCGCTCTTCTCGCTCCACCACTGCTGGTGGAGCTCCCAGCTCTTGGTCAGGGAGTCCTGCGTGCTCCTGATGTAGTACAGGAACTTGATGCGGCGCGCGCTGGGGTCGAACCACACCCAC